CCCCAAAGCCCTTCTTGTGGATGACGAGTTTGTAGACCTTTGTTGTTCTCATCTTGCACTGTTTTTCCCTTTAGCTGTTCCAAGCTTGGGGCAGAGAAGTCATCTTGCCTCCCTGCCATTGAAATACAAACAAAAAGGTTGAAAGTCAGACTTTTCCTTGCAACCACTCTTTGATTTTAGGCCAGTGAAGATACTGGTGTTGCTCTGCTGTGAAGCGGTGCCAAGCGACTCTTGGATGAAGTCACTTCTCCAGTTACAAGGAGCGATGGAGAACAAACAGAATCACAGAATCCAAGAACTAAGGGGAATTCACGCCAGGGGCTAGTCAAACCTAGGAGAAAGTATTCTATCACACCCCTAAAGGGGAAGCATTGCGGTGAATGGGTACTCATTACCTTGTCTCCATCTACATCAATAACAACCGAACATTAAGGACATCTTAAAAGAAGTTAGCCCACTCATTTTGTAGATGATGAAAGTGTGAGTCACGGCAAGGGACTTGCTCAAGGTTACTTGAGACTTAGAGATACTCCCACCATCCTCATTTTGCTGCCAACGTCCTGAGCAAGGCGACCACAAAGAAGAGGAAGGCAGGAGTTTCCTTCCCCAAACCTCGGTCTGTGTGAACTCTCAGCGTACCTTCCCTGACTCCATTTCACAGCTGAGGCCGCTGAGGCTCAGAGAGGGAGAGAGACTTGTCCAAGGTCACACAGCGGATTGGGAATGAGGGCCAGGACTCGAACCTGGGCCAAGGCCCCCTACCTCAAGCCCCCCTTAGTCCCGAGTCTGGGGCGGGCAGCTCCACTCACCGAAGCTCTGGAGCCCCTTCCCGCCTCTGGCCGGGGCCCCGAGGGCTGGACCCTCTCCAGGTTCCCCGCGCCTCCTCCAGATACCCCGCCTACGCCCTCGCGGCCCGCGCTGCTTCCGCCCCTGAGCCTGAAGCGCCTACAAGGCCCGCCCCGACCGTGTAACGCTCACCTGAGAACCCGCGCCGCTCCGGTGGCTCCGCCCCGGGGCCCCGCCCCCTTCCCGCCCTCGCGCCCCCGTGCCGCTCTCGCCGGGCCTCCGCCTCGTCTCTGTGGCCGCGCCACTTCCTCATCCGGGGCTTGAGCCGGAGGCGGGGTGTTGCGTACGGCCTCTTGCTTGGGCCACCTCCTGGCGTTTCCTGCCCTCGAGCCGTAGAGCCTCCGGCCCCACGGAGGAAATCCATTTCCTCCCAGTCTATCCGAAATAGACCCATGGCCACAGAGCTTCGTTTGCGACTTAGTGGTCTCCCCGTAGGGGAAACGAGATCCCTCAGAGCTCCGTTTTCTGTTACATGAACGAGGTTAATGACTCCTGTGGCCTCACTGGGCTGCTAAGAGGCGCCAACGAGAGTTTCTGGGAGGACTTCTGTAAAATGCAAGGGGCTGAGCACGCGAGAGTTAGTGTGATGGCCCCTGCTGGGAAGTGTCCACTTACCGGGGGCTTTTCAAACCCTTAAACTCCAAAGGACTTTCTGCGCCTCTCTGGTATTTTAATAAGAATGGCTGCCTGCCTTCACAGTCCTTATGTAATCATTGCATCCCTATTACGTGATGGATGCAGGAGGCAGATACTATCCTATTTCACAAACCGGGAAACAGCCTGAGGACACAAAACCCTTCAGAAGGAAGCAAGGACGAATCCTGACCCGCTCCCAGAACGGAGCCTTTAACCAACATCCTTTGGTCATTCCCAGGGCACAGCCTAAACTTGAATCTGTCAGGATATCTTTCTCTCCGAGCAGAAAACCAGAGAGCTGGGTGGGCCGGGTCAGGCTCTCGCCGAAGGCTCCTGACAATTGCCAGCTCCGCCTGCTGCCACTGATACCCCCGCCCCCCAGTCCAGTCCACCGTTTCTGACCTGAGCGGCAGCAACTCGATAGGACTTCCCTGCTTCCCCTCTTGCAGCCCGAGAGATCTTATAACTGGAATCAGTGTCTCGGTCACGCCACTCCTCTGCTGCTTCTAATCACACTGACTGCTAAGTCTAAACGACACAGCACTTGTCTTACATTTCTTTATATCTTTAATGCTTACGGTGCCCGTTTCTTACGGATTTGGGAAACTTAAAAATGTTGAAAGAAAAACCATGGTATACCGTAGTGAAACATTCTACAGTGGACCAAGGGGATCCTGGGACAGGACAAGCAACGTTCTTAAGCATGGATGCCTTTACGTTGGGACTCAGGAGAAGTTAGGTAAATAATGCAAGTATTAAGTAATTGCGATTTTTTTTTTTTTTTTTTTTTTTTTGAGATGAGGTCACCCTCACCCAGACTGGAGTGCAGTGGCGCGATCTTGGCTCACTGCCATCTCTGCCTTCCCCGCTCATGGGATCCTCCCACCTCATCCTCCTAGTAGCTGGAATTACAGGTCCGTGCCCAGCTAATTTTCGTGTTTTTTGTAGAGACGGGGTTTTGCCATGTGGCCCTGGCTGGTCTCAAACTCCAGGGCTCAAGCAATCCGTTCGCCTTGGCCTCCCAAAGTTCTGGGATTACAGGTATGAGTCACTGCAGCCAGGTTTTATTTTTTTCTTTCCGAGACAGGGTCTAGCTCTGTTGCCCAGGCTGGAGTGCAGTGGTGCTATCATAGCTCACTGCAACCTCAATCTCCTGGGCTCAAGCGATTCTTCTGCCTCAGCCTCCCAAGGGACTGGGAACTACAGGGCAAGCCACCGCTCCTGGCTAAAATTATTTATCTTGTAATAAAACATATATGATAAAGTGGATTGCAACAGTTACAAAATTTTTTAAGAATAACAATGTTATGTTTAAAAATGTTTCTATGTTGCCACTTCAGGAGACACACCCAGATCCCCCAAGATAGTTTCTGTCTTTAGAGACAGTGGTTGATGGGACATTCTTCCATCTCAGAGGAAGCTAATAGAATTCTCTCTTCTTAGCCCTCAAGGGAGTTTTATTCTGTCTCCTGAGAGATGTCTATAATGGGACGTCTTAAAAAGGCATATATTTTAACTTTTTAACTTGGCCACTCTCATAAAGAAACTCTGAAGGCCAGGAGCCTGAGGCAGGCGGATCACTTGAGGTCAGGAGTTCGAGACCAGCATGGCCAACATGGTGAAACCCCGTCTCTACTAAAAAATACAAAAATTAGCTGGGCATGGTGGCATGCGCCTGTAATCCCAGCTACTCAGGAGGCTGAGGCAGGAGAATCTCTTGAACCCAGGAGGCAGAGGTTGGGAGGCAGAGGTCACAGTGAGCCGAGATCCCGCCACTGCACTCCAGTCTGGTGACAGAACGAGACTCCGTCTCAAAAAAAAAAAAAAAAAGAAAAAGAAAGAAAAAGAAAAGAAAACAAAAGAAACTTCGAATCGTTCAGGTTGTTTTTTTTTTTTTTTAGAGACAGGGTCTTGTTTTCTTGCCCAGGCTGGAGTGCAGTGGTGGTACCATCATAGCTCAATGCAGCTTCAAACTCCTGGGCTCAAACGATCCTCCCGCTTCAGGCTCCCCAGTAGCTAGGAGCACAGGTGCATCAACATCTGAGCAATTTTTGTTTTGTTTTGAGAAAGAGTCTTGCTGTGTCACCCAGGCTGGAGTGCAGTACCATGATAACGGCTCACTGCAGCCTCAACCTTCCAGGCTCAAGTGATCCTCCTGCCTCAGCCTCCAGAGTAGCTGGGATTACAGACACACATCACCAGACCCAGCTGTTTGTTTCTTGTTTGTTTGTTTGTTTTTTGGCAGAGACGATGTCTCACTGTGTTGCCCAGGCTGGTCTCAAACTTCTGGGCTGAAGTACTTCTCCCGCTTTCGCCTCCCAAAGTGCTGGGATTACAGGCGAGAGACACGGCGCCTGGTCGAGTTCTATTTTTTAACACAAAGGTGTATGATTTGGAGCAAGTCGATTTAATTCTCTGTGCCGCCTCAATTCTTCCCCTGGATAAACATTTCTTCCTTCCTTCAAATGTCCGTCTAGTGTCTAGTTTTGTGCTGGACAGTGCTGTTGGTGCTGAGCATTAAGTGATGAACAAAACAGACAAGGTGGAGGAAGATAAATTATAAACGAGTCAATAAAGAGATGAGACATAGAAATTGCAGCTACTGCTAAAGCTATGAAGAAAATAAAACAAGGTTCTGTAACCAACTGGAGGCAGGGGTGCCGTTTATTTAGCGGTCACTGTGATGAGGAGAAGCAGAGGAGTGTCGTGACCCAAAACACTATTTCCAGTATAATAAGATCTCTTGGGCTGCCAGAGTGGAAGCAGGCAGGCCCTTAGAATTGTAGCCGTCCAGACTAGAAAAACGGTGGACTGGAACAGGGTGACAGCAGTGGACGTAGGCACTGGGTCCTGTGGCTCAGCGGGAACAGCGCCAAAAGTTGTGCTTCCCTTTAAAAATTTGAGTCGCAGGGGCGGGATTGAGAGAGGCTGGGGTTAGCAGAGGGCGGGAGGTCAGAAGCAGGAAGAGCCTCCCGTTGGAGTGCGCGCGCGCGGTGCGGGGGCGGGATTTGGGCGAGTCCGCATGGCTGGCTCGGGCCCCGGATGAGGAAGTGCAGGGGGACCATAGAGACGAAGAGGTGGCGGTGGCCGGAGCGCCCCCGGGCTCTGTCGGCTCCGTAGGCTCAGGTAGACTTGGCGACGACTGGGCTGCAGCTGCAGAGGCTGAGCTGGCTGGGCAAGCGCGGGCCGCGGAGCAGGTCTCAGGGTAAGAGGCCGGGGACTGGAAGGCTTCGGGCGTAGCCGCCCCGCCCCACTCCGCCCTAAAGGGACCCTCCGCCGGGTGGTGCTGGCTAAAGGGGAGTCCGGGCCCCCCGCCCTCTTGGGGTGCGGAAAGGAACCAAGGCTGCCCTGTGGGCGGCGGAACGACCCAGGGAGAGGGAGGAGACCAGGCCCCGCGTCGCTAGAGAGAAAAGCGGCTTCTCCAAGTCATGGCTTCGACGCGGGAGAGAGACTCCTCTTCAACCTCGATACGACAGGGATCCCCCAACTTATCTCCTCGCAGAGGACGACGCCCCTTATCGGAGGCGTACGCTCTTTCTTAGCGCTCATCCGTTGGTCAGCAGAGGGAGACCCACTCCCGGGGTTCGAGGGGCATTCTGAACTTATCCTGAGGAGGAGTAAGAGATAACCCCTAAATGAGACCTTTCCCCCAACTTTGGTCAGCGTCCCCCAGGTGAAGAGTGAGACTCAACTTGCCTGAAAGTGACAGAGGGGATCTTCCTTCCCAGTAAGAAAGAGACTTACCTTCCTTCTTTATTTTTCACGTGTACCCCAAGATACGGAGAGGAAGACCCTGAAAATTTACTTTATGGTATCAGAAGTCAAGCTTTCTCCCTCTCCCATCGCGATGTCCACAGAGGGAGCCTCGCTTCTCTTCTTCCCTTTAAGCCTCTTGGTGTGCAGTGAGCTCCTTTCCCTTGCACAATTAAGAGCGTGGCTTTTGGAGTGTGATAGTTACCAAACCTGGGTCTCTCACTTAACATCTTTGTGACCTTGACTATTTGTTTAACTTGTCTCAATCTCAGTCCATCTCCAATTTGGGTTCTGTTTTCTTAAAATTGTCATGCGGGCTAAGGGAGCATTTGTGTAAATACTAATTACATAGTAAGCTTTTGGTAAGCTGTTGCTGTTACTCTTAACTTCATCTGTTAAAAAAGAAAATTAATATCTTGCACAGAGAAGCATATTTTTCCATGCGTGCCCCTCCCAACCCCCATCACAAGTGTTCGAGCATCCTTTCTCACTGGAGTGGAAGACTCCCTCCCAGTTAGGGGTTAGAGAAAGAGACATTTCCAGTCCCCTTAGATCCTACTGTACAATACTCCCCCAAATTAACAAAGAGAGCATCAATGAAAATAATCAAGAAAAAAAGACTTAGCTTTTGGAAACAGGTCTGTCCTCTTAAGAGAAAGGGAGACCTGATGCCAGAAGCCAGCCCTTCCTTTGTCCACAGAAGGTATCACTTCTTCCTGACTGGTTAGAGATGTCCTCTCCCACTCCCTGACTTACTGTAGTGAGAAAAAATATTCCATCTGCACGTCCTTCCCACCCCGCAAGTGGGCGATTCCAAGTTCTTCCTTTCTTTTGCTCTCCCAAGAAAATGAAGACTCTGTACCTTTGAGGAGCGATCTCTTCCCTCTTGTATATCCAGAATGACACAGATTGTTTCTTTTCTCCTTTTCCTTTGTAAAAGAGATGAAAATCTTTTATACAGGAAGCCTCTGTCAGTAGAAATCAGGAGCTTTTCCACGGTTTCACTCCTTATGTGGAGACAGAGGGGTCCTTTTTCTGGATGTTATTAAAGGGAGGAAATGGGAAATAGTCCTTGATGCTTTTGAGATTTTCTGCACGCTCCTCGTTGAAGCGCTTGGCCCTGTTTAGTGTATGAACTTCCCTGCCTCACTTTCAGTTTGTCTTGGGATTTTATTAAAAGACTCTTCTTTCTCTTTCTGAAGAAGAGGCCCATTCTCCAAATTCCCTCACGGAGGGAATGACTACAATGTCTGAATCTTTGGAAAAGAAAGCCCCTTTCTCAAGGTGAAAAGAGTATTGCGAGCCTCTGAGGGCCTGGTCATTATTGTGAGTATTGTTCCCTGAAGCAAGCATGGCAGTGCCTAGTGTTATTAACAGCCCCTTTGCTTTGGAATTAAAGGGAAGGGAGACTTTCAGATTCGGGATTGTTGGGGCACACGGTTTTAGGTTCTGTTTTCTTTGTGGTTTTTTTGGTTTTTTTGCTTTCTTATTTTTTGCCTGTTGTAAATTTTCAACCTCTAGAACTTTTGGGGAGTGTTTGAATGACTAAAAGTTGCCACTTTGTCAGGTTTTTAGTGTTATAAAATGTATTCTGATGAGATTGAGAGCAGCAATGTTAATCCTTCACTGGTAGGTTTGTTTTCCTGTTTTTGTTTTTTTGGTGGGCTAGGAATTAACACTGCCAAATTACCTGAAAGCACGCTAAAGGAAAGCTTACCATCTTTTTTTATATGTAAAGTGTTCTTAAATTACCTCAAATGCCTTCGAGTAATTGCAGAGGGGATTAGTGGGAGCTCTAAACCACCATTGTTGGTGTCTGTAGGTGTGCTTTTCTGAAACAAAGGGAAATAGAAAAGTTATTCTTTGGAGTCTTGGGATTTTTTATGGGTGATAGGACCCTTTGAACTTATTTTGATGAATATGTGAAAAACAAGCCCGGGAAAGTTCACTTAACTTTCACTTAACACACTCGAGACTCAGCAGCTAGTATGTGGGAGCAGGATAAGGGACCCTGGCTTCCTGCTGAAGAGACCAGCAGTTAGGCCGGGTGCAGTGGCTCACTCACGCTTATAATCCCAGCACTTCGGGAGGCTGAGGTGGGCAGATCACGAGGTCAGGAGATCAAGACCATCCTAGCTAACACAGTGAAACCCCATCTCTACTAAAATTACAAAAAATTAGCTGGGCGTGGTGGCGGGCACCTGTAATCCCAGCTACTCAGGAGGCCGAGGGAGAAGAATCGCTTGAACCCGGGAGGCGGAGGTTGCATGAGCCAAGATCATGCCATTGCACTTCAGCCTGGGCAATAGAGCAAGACTCTGTCTCAAAAAAAAAAAAAAAAAGACTGCTGGGAGAGGGCCGGGTGCAGTGGCTCAGGCCTGTAATCCCAGCACTTTGGGAGGCTGAGGCGGGCAGATCACAAGGTCAGGAGATCGAGACCATCCTGGCTAACATGGTCAAACCCCGTCTCTACTAAAAATACAAAAAACAAACAAACAAAAAATTAGCCGGGCATGGTGGCAGGCACCCGTAGTCCCAGCTATACTTGGGAGACTGAGGTAGGAGAATGGCGTGAACCCAGGAGGCAGAGCTTGCAGTGAGCCAAGATTGCGCCACCGCACTCCAACCTGGGCAACGGCGAGACTCCGTGTCAAAAAAAAAAAAAAAAAGACTGCTGGGAGAAGTATTTGTGCATTTGCAAAGAGCGAGCATGAAATAATTGTCCTCAACATAAAAGAATTTCTACTTTTACTGGAATAATAATAATTTTCATACTTCCTATAAGTATTAGTCACTTTTTGGGAATAAATCCATTCCCTACACAATCTAATACAGTACTTATTTGTGTTGTGATGAAGACAAGCCAGTAGCAGCTGTCAAGAGTCATTCATAAATCTATGGTTTATTTTTTGCCTATACCTCAAACTAGGTAATTATCTGGTATCCTCACCCAATAGGTTGATATAAGTGATTAGCAAAGATTAAGCTGTAAATCCCTGTCTACATTTTATAGGCATGTGTTACTCACTCTTCCCTCTCACTTCACACTGAACACTTTAATGTAAAAACATTGATGGTTAAGGCAGAGAGCTGACAGCTGGAAAAATACTGATAAAACAAAAGGATAATAAACTTACCAGCTGTTTTTATTGCTGTGCATTTAGATCTTGAGAAATAATGGTTAGACATTTTAACGTAAGTAATATATACTCACTGTTTTGAAAACTAAGTACAAGGCTGGGTGCAGCAGCTCACTCTGGGAGGCCGAGGTGGGAGAATCACTTGAGCCCAGGAGCTCAAGACCAGCCTGGGCAATGTAGTGAGACCCTGTCTCTACAAAAAATAAAAGTATTTGCTGGGTTCATTGCCTCGCACCTGTAGTCCTGGCTGCTTAGGAGGCTGAGGCAGGAGGATTGCTTGAGTCCACAGTTTGAAGTTAAGTTCAACATGCAGATAAGTCATTGGTGATGCTTTTGTCCAAGGTGACACTGTGATATTTGCCTTATATATGTATATTTTGTTTTGTTTTGTTTTGAGACTGAGTCTCCCTCTGTTGCCCAGGCTAAAGTACAGTGTCGTGATCTCTGCTCACTGCAACCTCCGCCTCCCAGGTTCCAGGGATTCTTGTGCCTTACCCTCCCAAGTAGCTGAGATTACAGGCTCCTGCCACCGTGCCCGGCTAATTTTTGCATTTTTTAGTAGAGATAGGGTTTCACCGTGTTGGTCAGGCTGGTCTTGAACTCTTGACCTCAAGTGATCTGCCCACCTCAGCCTCCCAAACTGCTGGTATTACAGGCATGAGCCACCAAGCCTCGCTGTAGAGATGTATTTTTACATCATTCTTTTAGATTGCTCCATTGCATTCAGAAAGTTAGTTTTAAAGAACTTGAATGTCTTCTCAAAATCGGGTTCTGTTACTGCAGCCTTGTAGCATTATCCATATTTTGATAGATGGTGTAAGCTACTGAGCTGAAAATAAGTTTAACCTGCCACTCTAGGCTTGCCTCTAAATATCACCTCACTTCTGAACGTTCCAGCTGTTCTTGGTAACAGATCTGCAATTCTGCTCAGAAATTTGAGGACCCAGAATTAGTCCAGGAGAAAAAGGAGGGGGTGTCTGTTTTGCTTCTCTAGCCAGTGTGGCTAGTTGTTTTACAGGTTGAAAATTCTTAGAATTTGGTCCGAACAGGAGTATCAAGAGATGAACCATTTTATGTGATTGTCAGTGTTGACTCTTTATGATAAAGATCTGTTTAGTAAACCTGTATTTGTGCATGACTCTATGTGGAGCAACATTTGGAACAAAATGTTGAGCTAGAACCTTGGGGATGGAAAGGAGTAGAATTTACTAGAAACACTGCAGGGAGTTGAGTCCACAGGCTGCAAGTGCTGATTGAATGGTGAGGGGAAGTCAGATATGGTTATGGCTGGGGATTCATTCAAATCTGAGCTCCAGAATAATGATGATGTGTTTTCTGAGAAGCAACAGGATTAAGAATAAGCATGTGGCTAGTCATAGTGGCTCACGCTTGTAATTCCAGCACTTTTGGGAGGCTGAGGTGGGAGGATTGCTTGAACCCAGGAGTTTGAGACCAGCCTGGGCAACATAACAAGACCTACAAAATTATCTACAAAAAAAAAAAATTAGGCCAGGCACAGTGGCTCTCACCTGTAATCCCAGCAGTTTGGGAGGCCAAGGCAGGCTGATCACTTGAGGTCAGGAGTTTGAGATCAGACTGACCAACATGGAGAAACCCCGTCTCTACTAAAAATACAAAATTAGCTGGGCGTGGTGGCGAATGCCTGTAATCCCAGCTACTCAGGAGGTTGGGGCAGGAGAATCACCTGAACCCGGGAGGTGGAGATTGTGGTGAGCAGAGATCTCAGTGTTGCACTCCCACCTGGGCAACAAGAGGGAAACTCCATCTCAAAAAAAAAAAAAAAAATTAGCCAGGCATGCTGAGGCAGAAGGATTACTTGAGCCCAGGAGTTCAAGGTTATAGTGAGCTATGATTGCACCACCACACTCCAGCCTGGGTGACACAGCAAGACCCTGACTCTTTTTTTTTTTTTTTTTTTAAAAAAAAAGAAGGAATGAGCATGTAAGTTTACTGAGGGCATCTTATTTATCCTTGTTTCTCAAAGCTGTTTGCATGTAGAAAGACTCAGTTATTCAATAGATTGAATGAATTGTGTTTTAAACATGGTAAGTTTTGGGGGTGCCATTCTTGCAAGTGAAATGTAGGTTAGGAATTGAGAGAAAGGTTGGGGTCAGGGTCAGGTTCCTTTTTTTTTTTGAGACAGGGTCTCTCTGTGTCACCCAGTCTGGAATGCAGTGGCCCCATCTCAGGTCACTGCAACCTCTGCCTTCCAGGTTCAAGCAATTCTCCTGCCTCAGCCTCCCAAGTAGCTGGGATTACAGGTGTTCGCCAACACGCCCAGCTAATTTTTTGGATTTTTAGTAGAGACGGGGTTTTACCTTGTTGGCCATTCTGGTCTGGAACTCCTGACCTCGGGTGATCCACCCACCTCGGCCTCCCAAAGTGCTGGGATTACAGGTGTGAGCCACCGCTTCTGGTCAGGTTTCTTTTTTAAAAGAAATTATTTTTGTTAAGATTTAATTCATATGCCAGACTATTGACTGATTTAAATTGTACCAGTCAGTGGTTTTTGGTATAGTCGCAGAGTTCTACAACCATCACCATAATCAGCTTTAGAAAATTTTTATTAGTTGAAAAAGGAACTCTGTGTCCATCAGCTGTCCACTCCTGATTTCTCCAAGAATCCCAGCCTTTTTTTTTTTTTGGACGGAGTTCGCTCTTGTCTCCCAGGCTGGAGTGCAGTTGCGCAATCTTGGCTCACTGCAACCTCTGCCTCCCAGGTTCAAGCAATTCTCCTGCCTCAGCCTCCAGAGCAGCTGGGACTACAGGCATGTGCCACCATGCCCAGCTAATTTTTTGTATTTTTAGTGGAGATGGGGTATCACCGTATTACCCAGGATGGTCTCCCAACTCCTGACCTCGTGATCTGCCCACCTTGGCCTCTCATGGGTGTGATCCTCCCCTGTTAATAGCTGGGTTCGTAGTAAGATTTGCCAATTCTAGACATTCCTATGCAGGGGATCTTGTAATGTGTGATCTTCTGTGGCTGGCTTCTCTCACTTAGCATAATGTCTTCAAGGTTCATTCGTGTTGTAACATGTATTATTTCTCCATTCCTTTTTATGGTTGAATAATATTCTATTGTATGGCTGTACCACATTTTGTTTATGCATCCATCAGTTGATGGATATTTGGATTGTTTCTACTTTTTGACTATTGTGAGTAGTGCTGCTAAAGACATTTGTGTACAAATTTTTATGTGGATGTATGTTTTGTGCATATATACCTATGAGGGGAGTTGCTGAGTCTTTGGTAACTCTGTGCTTAAAGGAAGAGTTTTAGGCCAGGTGCGGTGGCTCACACCCTTAATTCCAGCACTTTGGGAGGCCGAGGCGGGCGGATTACTTGAGGTCAGGAGTTCAAGACCAGCCTGGCCAACATGGTGAAACCCCATCTCTACTAAAAATACAAAAATTAGCCAGGCATGATGGCACATGCCTGTAATCCCAACTATTCAGGAGACAGAGGCAGGATAATCCTTGAACCTGGGAGGCGGAGATTGCAGTGAGCCGAGATGGTGCCACTGCACTCCATCCAGCCTGGGCAACAGAGCAAGACTCCATCCCAAAAAAGATAAAAAGGAAGAGTTTTGAGTCATCCTCATCACAGAGGCTGCAGAAAAAGATGAGGTTATCAAGAAAGTGAAGCCTAAAAAGGGAGGAATCAAGGATTAAGTTTTAAGAACACCCATGTCTGTGTGATAGGCAGGGTCAGATGCATAAGGTGGCAGAGACCCAAGGAGGCCATCTCCTTTGAAAAATCTGCTGTTTTGCCGTATCCTTTCCTGCATTTACTCTTCAAATCTGTATGTGCTGTGACAGCTGAAAAATGGACTGTGTATGTTGTTGGGAAAGGAAAACTGAACCAAATTAAAATTGAGTACTTCCTACTTATTTTTGTCATCAAATAGCAACTCCACATTATCTCTACTAGCCTCCCCCATCCCCCACCTTACACACACACACACAAATGGCCTAAAATCTGAAGTGCCCCTAGAAAGATCTTTATCTGGAAATAAAGGAGAAAGGGGAAGATTCTAGATCTAAAAGGGATACATTTCTCTCAGCACTGTTTTTGAGACAGAGTCTGGCTCTGTCACCCAGGCTGGAGTGCAGTGGTATGATCTTGGCTCGCTGCAACCTCCGCCTCCCGGGTTCAAGTAATTCTCCTGCCTCAGCCTCCCGAGTAGCTGGGACTACAGGCACCTGCCGTCGTGCCCAGCTAATGTTCTTTGTAGTAGAGACAGGGTTTCACCATGTTGGCCAGGTTGGTCTCTAACTCCTGACCTTAGGTGATCCGCCTGCCTGGGCCGCCCAAAGTGCTGGGATTATAGGCATGAGCCGCCGCACCCAGCCTTACAGCACTGTTTATGAAAGCTTTTCACATCCGAAATCTCATTTGATTCTCGTTCTTGCCCTATACACACAGTTTATCTCTTGGTAATGTTTTGTTTTGTTGCTTGTTCATTATTTTCTTTGAGATGGGAGTCTTGCTTTGTTGCCCAGGCTGGAGTGCAGTAGCGCGATCTCGGCTCACTGCAACCTCCACCTCCTGGGTTCAAGTGATTCTCGTACCTCAGCCTCCCAAGTAGCCTGCCACCATGCCCAGCTAATTTTGGTATTTTTAGTAGAGACTGGATTTCACCATATTGATCAGGCTGTTCTGGAACTCCTGACTTCAAGTGATCTGCCTGCCTCAGCCTCCCAAAGTGCTGGGATTACAGGTGCGAGCCACTGCGCCCAGCCTAATGTTTTGGATTCAATTTTTTAAATTTGCCTTTCTGTGTTACCTAAACATCATGGAACAGCAATCTGATTTCTTATCACTTCTGGTATTTAAGTTAGTATTATAACGTTACGCTTTTTTACCTTTGGGAAGATTCATTAAAGTTCATCTTTTCTCTCATTTTGTTTAGGGTTAGGGAAAGCATCAAGAATGAAGGTGTGGGTCAGGCATGGTGACTCGTGCCTATAATCCCAGCACTTTGCGGGGCCAAGGCAGGAGGATTGCTTGAGCTCAGGAGTTGGAGACCATCCTGGACAACGTATCAAAACTTGTCTCCACCAAAAAAAAAAAAAAACTAGCCAGGTGTGGCCAGGCACAGTGGCTCATGCCTGTAATCCCAGCACTTTGGAAGGCGAGGTGGGCAGATTATGAGGTCAGGAGTTCAAGACCAACCTGGCCAACATGGTGAAACCTTGTCTCTACTAAAAATACAAAAATTAGCCAGGCGTGGTGGCACACGCCTGTAGTCCCAGCTACTCAGGAGGCTGAGGCAGAAGAATCACTTGAACCTGGGAGGCGGAGATTGCAGTGAGCCAAGATCACGCCACTGCACTCCAGCCTGGGCGACAGAGCGAGACTCCGTCTCAAAAAAATAAAAAAATTAGCCAGGTGTGGTGATGTGCACCTGTCCCAGCTACAGGAGGCTGAGGCAGGAGGGTCACTTGAGTCTGGGAGAGGGAGGCTGCGATGAGGAACGATTGCACCACGGTACTCTAGCCTGGGTGACAGAGCAAGATCCTGTCTAAAAAGAAATGAAAGCTTGAAGTATCTTATCTGGCTAACCAATTTCTGCCTTGGTCAGGTCAAAGCAGATTTTTTTCCCCCCTACTTAGGCAAGATTTATTTCAAGGCCTGTAAACATTCAGACTGATCAGAATGGTCAAAGTGGATTTTGTTGTTGTGGAAACTGCATGTTTGGTACACTGAACTGGAAAAGTTACAAGTCAAGAACCCCTGGCCCTGAGTATGTGTGTGTTTTGGCTACTTGTATAGTGTAGCGTTACAAACTGCTTAGATATAAGTGTTTCAGCAAATAACCTGTTGCTACCATTCAGTGTAAGAAATGAAACATTATGAACACAGTGGAAGCTCTTTCTTGATACACCTTCACCTCCATTCTCTGAGACAACCATGTAATATTTTAGGCAGGTCATATTTAACCTCCTCAGGTGTGGTGTTAGGATCTATAACAAGAAGCTGATAGCTGCCCTACTTAGCTAAAAGGGTTGTTACGAGAATCAAATGAGTGATGACTGTGGAAAACACTTGGAAAATCTGAAGATGCAGGATAAAAATCAGGAAGGATTCTGCTAACGAGCTGGTTTAGTAGTTTCTCGTGCTAGGCTGGGTAGAGAGAGCTCAAGTATTTAGTAAGCAGTAAAGGAATGGAATCCCACTTTATCCCTATCCTCCCTCAAAAAGGAAAAATCAGTATATGAAATTTTCCAGAGTCCCTCAGTATATGTTCAACAAATATTTGCTGAGTATGTACTATAGGATAGCATGGGGATATAGCAGTGAACAAAAGAGGTAAGGTTCATGCCCATGAAAACAAACAGAAAACCGTCTTTATTTTCAAATTTACATCAGGTCTATCCTTGGATGCTTCAGGCACATCTTATTCTCATCTACATTGGCTGGCCCTTCACATTTAAATTAAGAATCGTTCATAAGACAGTATTTGAATTGAGATTAGTCAAATGCCTATTAAAGATTAAGGTATTTATTTTTCTACAAATTCATCAAGGAGAAATTTTTGGTGCCAGATGATGCTAGCATTTAAAGTAGAACTTATTTTCTTCATTGTAGCCGGTTTGAACTGAGGCAGCCTTCTTCTAACCTATCAAGGTTTTAAACTTTTATCCCTTCCTCTGATTTGTGTCAGGGTGAATCGTTTGATATAAAAGACTTGACTCCATAATCTGCATCTGCCCTAATGCTGTCATCTGGAGTAGAGACTCAGCCAGTTCCACTTGATTCCTCCATGTCTGCCGTGGTACAGGAATTATACTCTGAACTCCCAGTAAGTGTCTCCAGAGAGCTTCATGCTGATCCTGAGCCAAGTGTGATTCCAAATGTAAAACCTGGAGCCTCAAGCCCTCTTTTAAGTCAGAGTAGGGCATTGCCCTTGGAGCTGCAGAGGACTCGTGTGGAGTGTTGTTGTGAAGAAACCTATGAAACCTTGGATCCTGGGAGTGAGTCTGGGCGATGTGGGTTAGTGGACTCCACAGCAGGAGGTTCTGTGGCATCTGGGATCTTGGATAGGGCAAAGAGAAGCAAGAGCATGGAGCCAAAGGTCTTCAGAGATCCAGGGGGCCAGGCGGAAATTGTAAGAGAACCTTCTGAGGGAGCAAAGGAAGATCCACATCAACATTCCACAGCTGCTGAAGAAAAGATTAGCCCAAGTCAGGTAAGAAATGAAATCTCCATTCAGAAGAGTTGAGTGTGAATGACAGCTTTCTCTTGATAAAATACAGATGCTGACGGTTAGCTTTTGATTTATTCTTGAAACATTTCTGAAATGTTGATTTTGAAGTTAACTTTGTTTTGATGATCTTTTAAAAAAACATTTGTGTCGTATCAGACACTTGAAGAGAGGAAGTGCTTAGTAAAAAAGTGTCACTTCTCTGAAGCAGTGACTGTATATGAAATATTGAGTCTGTGAAAATCATGTGGTATTTCAGATTTGATGTTAAGAAATGATATAGATATACTCAGTCCTTATGTTTTGGTAGGTTGGAGTGAGGTATTACAGAGAAACCTTTGAAGGGAGGCCTTTTTTTAAAAAAAAAAAAGGTCTCATTCTGTCGCCCAGGCTGGAGTGCAGTGGAACAATCTTGGCTCACTGCAACCTCTGCCTCCCAGGTTCAAGCGATTCTCTTGCCTCAGCCTCCCAAATAGCTGTGATTATGGCATGAGCCACCATGCCCAGCTGATTTTTTTGCATTTTTAGTAGCAATGGGGTTTCGTCATGGTGGCCAGGCTGGTCTCGAACTCCTTACTTAAGTTATCCACGCACCTCAGCCTTCTAAAGTGGTGGGATTACAGGCGTGAGCCACCATAACCAGCCGATGTGCGCTTTAATTTATACCCAGAGAGATTGGTTAGTTGAGACTAAGTGAACTATGATAGTGTGATGGTCTCAAAAAAAATTTTTTTTTTAAATAGAGACAGAGTCTTAGTTTGTTACCTAGGCTAGTCTCAAATTCCTCGGCTCAAGCAATCCTCGCACCTCGGCTTCTCAAAGTGCTGGGATTACAGGCGTGAGCCACTGAGCTCGGCCCTCCAAATTCTTTTTTCTTTTTTTTTGAGACAGAGTCTTGCTCTGTCGCCCTGGCTGGAGTGCAGTGGTTAGATCTCGGCTCACTGCAACCTCCGCCTCCCGGGTTTAAGTGATTCTCCTGCCTCAGCTTCCTGACTAGCTAGGATTATAGGCACCTACCACCATGCCCGGCTAATTTTTGTAGTTTTAGTAGAGATGGGGCTTCACCATGTTAACCAGGCTGGTCTAGAACCCCTGACTTCAGGTGATCCAACCATCTCAGCCTCCCAAAATGCTGGGTTACAGGCATGAGCCACTGCACCCGGTCGGGCCTTCTCAGTATTTTTTCTTTTTTTGTTTTTTTGAGGCTGGGAGTCTCACTCTGTTATTTCGCTTCTCATGTTTGGTAGTCTTCCTGTGGCCGGATCTCAGCTCACTGCATCGCCTTCTCTGGGTTCACGCTATTCTCTCCGCCTTCAGCCCCCCGGAGGCTGTGGACTACAGGCGCTCCGTCACCCGCCCGTGTAGTTTTGTAGTAGAGATCGGTGGTTTCATCCGTGTTGTGGTAGTCGGAGTTTTGGTCTTTCGATTTCTCTCGACTCTTCGTGATTTCGCGCTCGCGTCTCGGTCTCCCATAAGAGTGCTGGGATTACAGGCTTGATGCGCACTTGTGCGCCCTCAGTCCTTTTGGGTCCTCCAGTTCTTAAAAGGAATGTAACTTGTCCCAGCGGGGATCTCTCCCTTACCGCTAGAATGGTTTTTCTAGCAGGGGTTAGCAAGATCTTTGGTCTTTTCGCCACATAGAAACACCGGTATGTCGGTTTTTTTTGAAAGCACAACTCTCCCAGGCCAGATTGCAGTGGTGTGATCTTGCCTCACTGACCTTTCGCCTCTGGGATCAAAACCATTCTCCTGCCCTCATAGTGCTCCTGAGTGCTGGGTATTATCGGCGCCGGTCACCCCACGCCTGGCTCAATTCGTATGTTTAGAGACAGAGTTTCACCTATGTGTGACCAGGCTGTAGGTTTTGAACTCCTTTTGTTGTTAATCCTGTGATCCACCCACCTCAGCCTCCCAACGTGCTGTTTTTTTTTTTTTTTGCCACCATGCCAGGCCGTATATGATTTCTTTTGGAACAACTCAGCTTTGCCATTGTAGCATAAAGTGGGCAGAAGCAATACATAAATGAATGAAAGTGACTGTATTCCAGTAAAACTTTATTTATTAGCACAGGCTGCTGGCCTGAGGGCTGTGATTTGCCAACCCCTGCTCTAAACCCCCAACAAGTTCATATTCTTTGGGCTGCCTGGGCTACGCTCCCATCCTGCTCTTGATAACATCCATCATTTCTTTACACAGGATAAAGGGCAGTTAATTGTTGTTAGTTTTTTTTTTTTTTTGACTATGATTAGGAATGAATGAAGCATTAAGTAACATTTGAACATTTTTTTTTTTTTTTTACTGTGATGCCCTATCTTTTGTTTTGTTTTGTTTTGTTTTGTTTTTTTTTTTTTTTTTTTTTCGCTCTTGTTGCCCAGGCTGGAGTGCAATGGTGCGATCTCAGCTTTTTTTTTTTTTTTCCTCCCGGGTTCACGCCATTCTCCCGCCTCACCCTCCCGAGTAGCTTTTTTTTTTTTTTTCGCCACCATGCCCAGCTAATTTTTTTTGTATTTTTTTAGTAGAGATTTTTTTTTTTTTTTTTGGTCAGGCTGGTCTCGAACACCTCAGGTGATCCACCCGCCTCATTTTTTTTTTTTTTTGGGATTACAGGGTGAGCCACCGCACCTGGCCGATGCCCTATCTTTTTTTTTTTTTTTTTTTTATAGGTAAAAGACTAAAGATCCCAAAGTTCCGGTTGTGTTGCTTCTTTTTTTTTTTTTTTTTTTTTTT